TAATCCTAGCAGTGAATTGTGGGGCGTCACGTATGCGTAGCCTTCGCTTCTGGATCCTTTGATTTCGTACTCACACCATAGCTTTCCATGGACTTTCATGGAGGGAGCCTCCACTAGCGTTCTTGACAACCACGTTTGTCTGCTCTAGTCGAGCAGCGCCCATGCTCTTCCAAACAGAGTCATTCAGCAGCGTGATGTCTGATCCATTATCCAACAGAAAGCTAACTGGATGACTATTCACTTTTGCTTCCACATATACACGAGTCGAACTTCCATCATTGCATTCGAAGCCTTCGCGACACTATGAACATGACGTTTCGGTCTCGTCCAACTCCTGTTCTTACTGGTGTCACTGCTTCTGGGAATTCTTCTCTTCGAACCTTGTTGAACAAGTGCTCTTCTCTCCGCCACTCGTTCGCGAAACTTCTCCTTGTGACCTGTCTTCTTGCACTTCTTGCAATACCACAGCTTCGCTTTGCATTTCCTGGCCAAGTGAGCTTTACCACAGTTCCAACATTCCAGCTTCTTGGGTTTTTCCTGCTTGTTGCTTCGACAATCTTCGTGCAACCAGCTACAGTCTCGCTATCCTTCCTGAGACTGAGGAAGTTTCCGCACTCTAGGTACAACCCCCCCCCTGTAGCGACATCTTTCGTCCAGCCTTGTACTCCTTGTCCACTACGGCTATGAGTCGCTGCCTGATTTCATCTTCTTTTTGGCTCTTCAGGCCAAATATCCATAACAGGCATTTGATTCCATCGCTGTCCAAATCATGGATCTTCGCTTTTTCACACAATTCGTTCACTCGACCGGTGTACATGAGGTAATCTTCGGAATCTGCTTTCTCCAGTTTCAGACACTGGTACCGCATAGTGGAATCCGAAATCTTCACGTCGAACAGCTGCTTTAATGTTCCGGCGGTTTCTTCGAAATTAATCGAGGTTATCTCTTTTGGTAACACATGCCTCTGGTATTTTTCGGAACTGTCTTTGTCCAGCTTTTCGCATAGCAGCCTCACTCTCGCACTTTCTGTGAGCTGCTTCGCATCTTCGACAAAGACGTCCTTGTAGCGGGCATACCATTTACTGAAGCATATGTCCGCTTCGGGATCGAAGTAGAATTTTTCGATCCTATTGCTGAGGGCGGACATCACATTCGGGATTTCGGCTGAGGTAGCGCTTCGTCCTGTACCTGTGATGTGTTTCAGAAGCTTCACGTGTACTTCACGTTTGGACACTCTTCAAGGCTCCGTTTCCTTCGGGAGGAGAGAGAGGAAAAAAATAGGAATTTTTATTAGAAGTAAAATAAGTAGACAAAATCCAGAGGCGGATGAGTGAACAATGCTGAACTGCAGAACGATAGAACTGTAAAACTGACTAAGGCTATGAGTGAGCGCCTTTTATAGCGCTAAATTCCCGCGCACTCGGAGGTTGCGATCGACTGCGCGAGGCCGATCACTATGAGGCAACTGATTAGTACTAACACGACACTTTTGTATGGTCAAAATAATTTAGAAGCATTATTTGCATAAGAAGTTTTGTACAGCACTCTTGTTTGTCAAGTCACATTTTGCTTCGTTTTCAAAGCATAAATCTTCGCGTCAATGATTATGTTAGGCAATCCCAAAGTACTTACCAAGTGGTACCTTTCTGATTTTTTTTCCACTATTTGGCTGTTATTATAGATAGTGAAAACACCGTGTACCATGTATTGTATGTTGCTTGTGACTGACATGAGCATTGTAGTCAGAACCAAAAATATAATAACTTTTATTTTATTTTGCTTTTTGCATATTACTATTTGCAAGATGAGTTCCTCAATTAGCCTGCATGCTAGGATGCGGAAATTTACAACTACTGCATACTGACTCATATAATTACAAGCATCTTATAACTCCGCTTTACGCTGATGGGAACATTGCAGAAAGAGTTTGAAAGCATAAATTTGAGCGGTTAGGTCCATGTCGAGTGCGCTTCAAGTACGAAAACTCAAATTTTTTTCTAGTGCTCACTTCGCTAAGCTTATAAGATAGATGAAGCCTTATCGTTTCCAAAGCGGTCAAAAAACTGCGAAATTACTCATAAAAACACTTTTCGGTAACAAAACACGCGTGAAAGATTTTTAAGCGAAAAAAAGCAGATAAGCGTTTCTCAAAAGGTATGACACAGCTGAACTGAGAGACTGTTTTGACTTTTATTCCTTTAGTGAACAGAAACTTCAGATGGATCTATAGTTTTAGCCAGCCTTCAAGATTGTTTTTTTTTTCAAAAATTTTTGATTTTTCCTGGATAATCAAGCGAAAGCGGAATTCGTTTTGGTTATTGATGTTAGCTTGTAAACGCATAGCTGTACCAGACTTTAGATAAGTTCGTTGAGAAGCAGATGAGCTATGGCGATTTTCAAGGTAGATCTATAGTTTTGGCCAGCACTGTATACACCATACTAAGCTGATATATGCTTTTTCACAGCTCGAACTGAGCAAAAACGATATTCCTTTTGCTTTATACCCAGAAACACCGTCCAGCCTACCCAGTAAGCCACTGTGCCGAGCCCTTACTGATGTGCACCACTCAACTTCTCTCATCTCTTCTTCAACGTTTGATATTGCTTGGTTTTCCAAAGTAAACAGCCTTATACTCCCTCCGTGCTTGAAATGGAACTCATACTATCCTGCTGTTGAAGGCGTTCCGAACCAAGAGGTTTTCGTTGTTTGATCAGCTAGGTGAAGGCTGATGAGCGACCACTCGCGAATAGGGTAGGAAACGAGCTCATCACATGGTTATGAGCGAAAAAGATTGCTCTTTTGCGTGTGAAATGAGGTTGGTCGTGATAAGACAGAATAAAGAAGACAAGAAACTATAGAGGGAATGATTAGTGAAGTGCACAGAGGTGATCAGCATGCTGATCATGGCAATTGTGCCCGTCGCGTGTTAGGATTTTTCAGTGGAGCCTACGGTAGGTATGCAATGCAATAGAGGTTGATATTCAAGAATTTGCTGGTGCTTTATGAAACTGCTGCTCTGATGCATAAGTTTTGCAACTTCTATACGTTCTCTCTTTATTGATGTGACGCATTCAACTTTTGACATGATGTAGATTGTAAAATGAGGTATTCAAATGCTGAGATTGTTTGCTTTTTGAGAGCAAAATAGTAAAACCATTTGTATTTTCCAAAACCTCGTGAAATTTGAGGCTTTACTGTTTTGAAGCAGAAACTAAGCAGTGACCAACCTGAATAAAGCAAATAGAACGAATTGAAGACAAGTGTAAGAGTTGTAAACTGAAGAAAAACCCGAAATTTGGTACCCTCGTGAAGTTAAAGGAGCCAAAGTTAACGTTGTCTTGAAGGTCTGTCAACGCCAAAGAGTTGGACTGTCAGACTTTACGGTATGCATTTTGAGGTAATTTGAAATGCTGGACACAAGCACCGGTCCACTTGGTTGCCAATCCAATATATAATATACCTAGATGAATGGTCTTTAGCATTTTCCACACAAATATTTTAGCAAAACTTATGCATCAACTAAATACGTGAATTATGTTAACGATAGTGTTCCCTCCTTATCTTAACTTCTTTAAAGAGCAACGATTTGGTGGACGCATAACATATACGATTCAATGTTTTGTTGTTAGGTTCACAACCAATGAACCAGCAATCTAAAGGTGCTATTTGCAGAGCGTTCGCTGCGGGACCCGGCCGCGGTCCCCACTAATTGCACATTTTTGAATTGCGCTTACGTTTCTTATATATTAGTGTCTTTGATGTTCACATCTCCCTCTGTTGTAGCATTTTCCCGATCTTTTTAAAAGATTTGTGCTCGGGTTTGAAACTGACCCTAAGACAGACCTATTAAGTTGTCCGGAAATTAATGCAGGTTTTGAATTCCAACCACAATAAGTCATACACTTCTCATTTCGTAGGTTGCAAAACACCATTCGATAGAACAAAGGAAGCTCTACAAGATGATTATTCTGCTTTAGCAACAGCTCTGATTCACCACGAATTTCGAGCCAAAAACTAAAAAGATTCAACTGCTTAAAAAGTTGAGAAAAATTGTAACTCAGTTCATAAAAATCCTATAAAAAGTCTAACTCGCTCATATAAATGCAATCTACATAAGGCGTCTATATACGCCGTTGCCGTATTTTTTCAGTTGGAACTCAAGAAAACGGAAATTTTCGTGCATTTGCCGAAGTAGTGTTCTGCCGTTTCCACATAAGTAGTTGTGTATACAATCCTGTAGAAGTTCAAACGTAAATTTCCAACTCTCTACAAGCTTTAGTTCTTGAGAAAAAATTGAGTTGAATTTTAGCTTGAACCACATGATTAGGGAAAACTGTAGTCGATATTTCTTGAGAACTAAAGCTTGTACAGAGCTTGAAAATTTACATTTGTACTTCGACAGGTTTGTAGTATACAACTACTTATGTGGAAACGGCACAAAAGCACTTTAAATGCACGAAAATTTCCGTTTTCTTGATTTTCAACAGGGAAAAAATACGGCAACGGCGTCTATAGATGCCTTACGTGGACTTCGTTTATGTGAGAGAGTTAGAATTTTTGTAGGATTTTTATGAACTGAGTTACGATTTTTCTCAATTTTTCGAGCAGTTAAATCTTTTTTGGTTTGGCTCAGAACTTGCGGTGGATCAGAGCTGTTGCTAAAGCAAGATTGCCAGGTTGTAGAGCTTGTCTTGTTCTATCAAATGATGTTTTGCAACCTTCTTAAAAATTTTGACTTACTGCGATTGGCGAAACCTGCATTAACAGGTTATTTTCCGGACAACCTAATAGATAGCGGGACAGCATTCTAAAAAGTACTGCAGTATGAACAGCACGAAAAGAAAGAGGTTTTGTTATTACTGATTGTCTGGCCTCAAGGCAACTTCTATCTTTTATACCATAAAAAGCTTATATATAAAATATGAAAAATAGTCCAAAATGGTATTATCACTGAATCGTTCCCAATGCGCTTACGTTGGAAAGTTTTTTTTGATTTCAGATTGGACTTCTCCGTCAAGATAATGCTGATGGTGATGACGTACTTTTCTTATAATCTTATAATATTCCCTATAGTTGATACATTGTTTCCACTTATGGAGAAATACCTGCAAGATAAGGGTAGAGGCCGGTTTACCATAGGCCTAGTGCATTACGCATTTCGATGGTTGATTGCTATAGTTTCATGTAAGTTTCACTCAGAAATTCAGATAATAATATTTTATTATAATATTTATATTTTTTTATTTTTTTTATTTTTTTATTTATATTTCTTATTATAATATTTTTGCTTTGCAGTTGCGATCGCTATTGCTATTCCAAACTTCAAGGACATTATTCCGCTTATCGGAACGCTGACTGGGACCCTGTTAGCATTATTTTTGCCACCGCTTCTTCATATGGTGACATTTTATCATGCATGGAGAAGAGGCAAAACTGCTACTTTTGTGTGCAATATGATTGTAGACGTTGTCTATTTTATACTCAGTATTATATTACTTGTTGTAGGACTTTACGCAAATATTCGTAATCTTGCTAAGGGTGGAAGCCCAGATTAATAAGAAGTGCTGTCATTGTTTCTATTAATAAAGAAGAGGCAATTTTGACTTGAGCCTACATTGAGGAGGATCACTACACTTATCTCTGCTAGACTCTAGGCAACAAAACTTACATGATCAACCATTTGATCAAAGGATAAATAAATTTGATATTCTTACAGGGAAAATAATAAACTATTTGTATTATAGACTATTCCAAACCGGACCCACCTATTCCCTACTCATAATCTATTTTTCAATGCAACGGCTGTGCAAGCCACTAGCGCTTTCATTCGGACTTTTCAGGCCTGGTTGCGACTGGCACACAAAAAGAGTTTTGCAAGCAAAAATTTTGAGGAACCACTCTAAAAAATGGAAAGTAATAGTGAAAACCTGAATAAAAATACCTGAACAGTAAGAACGTTTTGAAACGTGTTCACTATTCCAGTACTTTCGTCACTTCATAATAACGGACTAAGAGTTGGTTGTGCGTTTTTGCGTGTGAGTCTCTCAAGATATGTCCGTCACCGAATTCATAAAACAAGTGAAAACCAAGGTCTTGAGTTAGCTCTCTGGCTGCTTGCCAGCAGCAAATAAGTCCACCTCGCAAAAGCATGAGCGGATCAATGCGTAGAACCACCGAAATATGTGCGTCAAAAATCACGCGGCCTTCAGCCAGAAAATGGCTCCTACAGCGACTTCGCAAAGCTATTAGCATGTACGTGTCAGCCACCTACTCAAAAAGTCACCAAAAATGTACATCTTTTGCTTAAGCTGTTCAGACAGCCGTTGACGAGTAACCATCAATTTATAAAGCTGAGAAAATCTTTGGTCAGAGACGTAGCTTGTGTATTAGTCATAATCTTTACGTTAACTGTTGTTCAATTAATAACTCACTAATTAATCCGAAATAAATTGTTTTATCTCCCTGCTGAAAAATTATATCAATTTAGAATTACCGTGCTCTTATGACGAGCTTCCTTGATAGATAGTTCTTTCTCCTCAAGCATGATTGCTCGTGATGCATCGTCAGGAGTTTTATTTTTGAATTAGCAAGTGGAAGGCACTTATCTTCAGCAGTTCAGATTGAAGTATCTTCGACAAGAAAGATAAATTGGTTCCTTTCCATATTGCTGTGATCACCTGTTTACCGACACTCTCCATCGGCTGACTCCCCGAAAGTGTGTAGCTTCGCGCATTATCATGGGCAGTTACATGTGTCAACTTACATGCCCTGTAAGTTACACAAGACAAACTACAGAAATTTTCTAATTCCTCGCTTTAACACACATTCTACGTCAGGAGACCTTTCGACTCACCTTATCCTATGGCAGCACGACAAAGTCGCTACGGCAGTTGGCAGGACAATCAACTGCCATGAACGAATATGAAGTCAGGGGTTCAATTTAGTCCACCTGATATGTACTATCACCGACATCTAACAACGTGTAAAAGCGCCACCTTTGCTGGAAGCTGATCATAAAACTACCGTGCTCTTACGGGCATTTGTTATATCAGAAATGCGATGTGTCAGGGTGAGATTTGTGCACTTGAATTAGGGCCTGGCACGAGTTGGTTTCTCAGATTTCTGAAAAGTCTCCCCCGACTTTCGGAAGTTTTACGAAGTCTCATTTGACCTACCGACTTGTGAGAAGATAAAAACAAGAAAGAGTCACTAGTCTGGAAGAAAAAACGTGAGATAAGAGTGGATTTCAAGGTGGAACTGAATATACGCACGCACAAGAGTTTGGCATTGGAGCGCGATATCTAACAAAGCAATTTATGAGGAAATTAAGACAAAAAATAAAGGAAAGGCAATGATATGAAAATATCTTTATGCTCAGGGATAGAACTTTGACCTGGGAATTTGTCCAGATAGAAAAATCCAAAATCTTTTGTGAACTTACAAAAAGTATGCTCCCAACTATCACAGATCATCTGGGAGCCGTCTGGAAAACGGACCAATTTAAAAAAGGTATCTTATACAGGGTGTCCCAAAAAAATGTAAACACCGTTTGATCGTCAATAACTCCCTTGGTTTTACATATTTCGCCGAGCTTGAGGCACCATTCTGTAGAGCGAGGTTCAACTTAGATTTGTGATATGGAGCGAATCGTCGATCTTTCTTCATTGCTGTAGGATTACGGTAGGAACTTCGACAAGGATTTTAAGAAAGCCATATTCTGCCTCAAAACAAAACCAAACAAGCCAAAAACTTCTATACTATGGTAATGGAAGCCGCTGAGTTCGAATATGAAATTTCCACTTCACTGTGACGCTTCTCTGCAAGGTTATCCCAGGTAAACCTTGATAACCTAATTTCCAGCATTTGTCAAAAATGCCATTACACCGTCAAAAAAGCTAAAAACACTCGTAAAAACTTGTGCTATGGAATCAGCGTGCGCGAAAACCTTAGTTGACGATTTTTCAGATTTTTTGAAAAAAATTCTGTCAAATGGCATATTTCACAATAGATCCACATGCAAGAAGCTCATACCGTAATCCTACAGTAATGAAGAGCGATCTGTGATTCGCTCCATACTACAAATCTAAGTTGGACCTCGCTCTACAGAATGGTGCCCCAAGCTCGGCGAAAGACATGAAAGCAACGGAGTTATTAACGGTCAAACAGTGTTCACATTTTTTTGGGACACCCTGTATGTTAGCTTGTTCCGAAAGTTTTGCCCGTTTCTTGAAACCACTATAGAACCACACACAATAAACAACTGAATGAGTTTCAACATGCGTTCGATGCAGCTTTTTCTTCTCTTTCTTATGGATATATTTTCGAGCCACAATCTTGCACGTTTTTTTGATAATTGCCAAAGTTTTCCACTCGTCAATTTTATCTGCTAAAAGTTAGGCTACTTTTTAAAAATCTCATTCCAAAGTTTCGAGAAGGGTTAGGTATGGTACAAATAGTGCAATTCTTGGACTACAAGGTAGTAATTCTAGATTCTCCTAATCTGCTGCTTTCAGCTTCAAAAAATTATTTCTTCGGAGGTATCGATTTTTGGCAAAATCTGAAACACGCAACTGCAGCTGATACAAGAAAGCTTTTAAACTTTCTGCGAATTGAAACATGATTCTTATCAAACATTATTTATGCAACATAACCAAGTTTGATTTGCTTTGAAAAAGCAGCTTGGAATGTCTGGTACTTCTACATGGTAAACGTAGTCAAAAAGCCGCGGTTTTTATTAAACTAATTATAATGGACTTGGTAAACTTGGCCCATATATTCTAAAATAGATGCAGTGTACAATTGCTCCACAGAATGGTTACCATCGCTCTTCAAAAACCTCGGGATAAAAAATTTTTAAATTCAAGAAAGATTTGGGTTACTGCTGAGCTGGCCGTGGCGATAACATCGCAAAAATAAGGTAGATCATAGAGCAAGTATAGCTGTAAGAAAGAGGATAAAAATCTGAATCAAATGGTACCTAAGTCGTCCGTGGATTTGTGTTTCGTGAGTTTTAGTGAGCGATGAAAAAACGGACAAAACTTTTGGGACAACCTAATGTAAAGCTCTATGTCTGTTTGTATGTCTGTCTGTATGTGTATGTTCCAAGTAAAAAATTCAAATTCTCAGCCGATCCGGGCCAAACTTGGCACACATACACTTCGGGGCGGTGCTGGTGTCGTAGGCTACTTTTCGTCATCGATCATCGATTTCCTGCAGACTTTTTGCTACGAAGCTGGGAGTTGGCACAGGGAAGGGGGTTAATCGAGCACGCTGATTACGAATGCGGTATTAGTTTTTAAAGTTATCCGTTACTTTTATCGATTTTATCGATTTTTCTGCAAAGTTTGAGCAATGGAGCCGGGGTTGGCACAAAGGGGTAAGTGAGCATGCTGATCACTAACACAGCAGGAATAGGGAATTGGCATGTAGAAGTGGGGACAGGGGAAGGTTGTGCAATGGGACCTCTGTCACAGTGTCTTGAAAAGGGCCGGGCGGAGCCGGAGTTCGTATATGTGTAGAACTCTTTACATAATTCTTCTGTAAGTAATATTCTACACCTCAAGTCAAGTTCGGTGCCATATGCTTGTCTCTATGCTGTAAACAAGCAATCTGTCAATTTTGGCTTTGCTTCCAAATGGCGCGAGACACGATAGAGCACGTCACCGTGTGATAACCTGTCTTCAGAGCTTGTGCTTGACTCAAAAGGGAAGCTCACTTATTCGAAGTGGCGATTCGGAAGGAGATCTATACCAGTGGAAGAGCTCAAGAAGCTGATCTCAGATATACCTTCTATATCTGCGATGCGTCGCTTTGAAAATGTTATGAGCTTCTTTAAAGCCAAATTTTCGTGCATTTTGAGTCGCAAAATCATGATAATCGCTATGTTGGAAGATGCGGCCGGTGATCACCAATACGGAATTGGCGGGAAGAAGAGGCGATTTGACCCTCTCAGCAGGGCGTAAAAGGGCAAGAGAGAGGGGGGCCGCGAGCAGAAGAGGCTCGCGGGAGTCGAAAACTGGTCAGGAGAGAGCCAGACCTCCCCACTTGAAAACTCACCGAGAATTGATCCAAACTGACCGTGTAAAGCCCTGCTGGAGGGACAAATCGGGATATTCCCCTGGTTTCGTGGTTTTCTTGTTGTTTCTTTCGTTCGTTGTTGACCTTGAGGCCGTTGTTACTGTTGTTTTCATACGGATAAATTTTATTGTTTTCGATCTGTTCGTGTGTTCCGTTCTCAAGGTGGAAACCTTAAATACCACTAGACACTAGCCCGCAGTTACATGGGGGCCGAACACCTTGATTAATTGGAAGGTCACGAGCTGATCGATTGATCCGGTGCAGAACTAGCAACTAAGGCCACACAGGTCGACAAGGGGCAAGAGTAATCGATCGCTAGAGTGAAGAATCGACTTATCCTTATCAATCCACGTATCCAGGTGCTTACGGAAGCGCTTGTATCAATTGATTTCGATTTTCTCTTCGATTTCCTTGCCGTGTATCGCGTTTTATCGCCGTATTGAGTGAAAATTTGTGGAAACAAAAGGGAATTGTTTTCAGATAAGAGTTTTCTTCATCGAAATGGAAGGAAAAGAGAACAAAGAGAGGAGAATGAACCAGGTGAGAAAGCTTGGACATTTAGACATAGTAGAGCAATTAAAGCTCATCAAAATGGGGGTAGAGCTGCTACCACAGGTGGTTAGCAGACACCTTAACGAGAGCAGAGCAGCGGTCAGGTACAGAGGGCCGCTAGAAGAAGAGTTAACTAGTAAGGTAGCTAGTACTGTAGGGCAAATAGATAACCTAGTAGTTCAGATCAAAATGGGATCTGGAACTTGTCGAGTAGGGGGCTTCACGGAAAATGTAAATGCAACTATCAAAACAGATCAAATGCAGGAATGCCTCCAAAGCGAGCAACTGCCGGAGAAACCGGTACAAGAGAGAGAAGAAGAAGCCGAAGAAGGCCAGATACAAGGTGAGAGCACCTCAGCATTCTCATTAAGGAACACAAACAATGAATTCGTTTAGATGTTGAATTCGAGGAGGCAGCCGAGAGGACCAAGTCCAGAGATTGGTCCGACGTACGCGCAGCTCTGGAGGCCATTGCGGGAAACGAGCGTCAACGAATGCCTGCCATGTCAAGGTACGCAGGAACAATTGTCAAATTACTTTTAAAGTATGAGCCTTGCGGACCCGGGGGTCTTCAAGGGGGGCGAAAACGAGGACTTTGGGGTTTTCATTAGAAGATTCAGAAGAAAGTTCGGTACAATCGTACGGGACGAGCAAACACTGGTGGATATTTTGGGAGATGAGCATTCAGCGGGGCATGCAAAATCCGTGTACCTCAGTATCCCGTTATCGGTAAGGCGCCAGGGATTCGAAAGGGTGGTAAAAGAGATGGCCACGCTGTTAGCGTGCTACTCAACTGCAACAAGACTTAGAGCGCTCACGGCCCTAAGAAACCTGCGGTTGAGGCCGAATCAGGGAGTGGCCGAACTCTGTGTGGTCCTGGAGGGCTTGGCCAGGAAAGCGAACCCTCAATGCAGTATTGAGGAGCGATCCATGGAGTGCGCACAGATACTCCTGGATAATCTGAAAGACTGGCCCGAGTATGTGCAGCTAGTAGGAACGCTGCATAAGGTAGATCCGGGGAATGCTTACAATACGATAAAAGAGGTAGCAATAGAAATTGAGCAGTCAAAAAGACTGTGCAGGTGGGACCGAAGGGAACAAGGGCAGAGCTCCACCAAGAAAGAGGAAAGAGTCGCACACAGTAGGCATTTTCAAAATAGGAGCCCAGAGAGGTGGAAGCCCAGCAGAGAAGAAAGAGAGGCGCCACAACCAACAAGAAACACGGACGTGGGTCGAGGCCTTCCAAACGAAGGAAGGAGGTGCTACGATGCCCGCTAATGCCATGTAACTCGGGTGACTACTACGTCTTTTTTGCACAAATTAATAGCGATCTTGCATCTTTCACTAAGCTTTGTCGATTAGCAAAAGTTTACAGCGTCTAGCTCGAAGCCCTTGGTCAGCATTGCTTGCTTGTGAAGCATATCCACATTGGCAGGCATAGGATTCTCGGTAACTATCTCTAACCTTCTTTAGAAGAATTTGGCTAGGATGCACAAAACCGCAAAAATCGTTCAGCTGCTCGGGGGCACATATCTGCCTGTGATACTTAGTTCTTTATGTCCCCATTCAATTTCGATCGGGATTCCTCATTCAAAAAAATTAAGGAGTCTTGGCTTTTCAGAAGTCAGGCTTACAAAAAAATCATGGGCAAAGCTGCAACCACTCCCTCCCCCCCCCCTCACCCGCTCCTAATACTTTATTGTAGGGTCGCTAAATATTTGAGAAGCACATCAAAAATTTATCTATGCTTGTTAGCAAAGAAAAAGTAATTGCGGCCCGTAAAATTAAGTTTTCCTCGATTTTCTCCTCGCAATATAATTTCCATCTTGACCGGAATGCAGATCCGAGCCCTGTTCGTTGCTCAACGAGGTGAAAGATTTTAGCCCATTGAGAACAGTTCACTATTACATTGTGGAAAACAAAATTCAATCAAGGCTTTTCATTAAAAGTGAATAATAATTAAACGCGTGCTTGTCTGAGTACTACTGCAGACAGATATAGCAAACACTAATGTAAATGCCTACGTAGCTTGTATTTCAGACATGAAATTGATTTGAAGTGCCGAGCAGACAGAGGCAACAGGTGTATTTTTTCAAACTGTGAATAATATGTACTATATATGCCTTTCAATGAATCCTTTACCATATGCTCGAAAAATCAATTTCTATCAACAAAAACGTGGGAATACAATGCCAATTATGAAATTTACAACTAAATCACATACAAAGGGCATGGATTAAAGTATCTCAAGATCTGCATTCGTCACCTGCACCAGTTTCAGTAAATGTTGACAATCCCCTAGATTATTTTGTTGACTTTCAGTCTCTTGATTCATCTAACGTATTTCTAGCATCAGATGTCCCCAAAAAACACAACAACTGAACTCCTTAATTATTTCCCTTCAGGAAGGAGGGCGATACCGTCTCTTTGTACTTGTATTTATCTATTTGATTCATTTTTGGAAGCGAAATCGAAGTGAATAGATCATTTATGATTTAGGCGAAAATTAGAAACAATCTGCCGCATGTAAATCAGGTTGATTCATAATTAATGCTTGTTTGTTAAAGTTCATTTTCAGTTTGCTGTTCTACCCGAAACTGACCTTTTCGTTTGCGTGTGTCCGTACGTTTTGAACAGAACATTTGAACTGATCCAGACCAAGTCTCGTACAGGAACGAGCCGGAAAGGATATACGAGGGTAAACATCCGAAATTAACAGCGAATAGGAAAATCATCAATTTTTGTTGGTTCTGTCGACACTCTAGCATATGGTGACCTAATATAATCATTTGTGGCATTGCACATCGTCTACCTTTGGCGTCTTCATCCTGGATTTTCAATCGCAAAAATGCAAGAAACCGACCGATTCTTATCGCTTATATCACTTTGAGGTGATTAGTACCTAGAAAGAGAAGAAAACATTGAAAACACATCAAGAACACTTACTTGAAGGGTTTCGGCTCCAAGAACCCAAGATGGGGACGCCAAAGGTGGACAGTGTGTGCAATGACACACATGATCATATGAGATGATTCGACTGTAGGTTGTCCTCCCGCAAGTAGACTGTATTTTCAGGTAAAAAAACTGTTGTTTCTTTGGCACACTTAGGGTCCATTCGATAGAGCAAAGCAAGCCCTACAAAAAGACCACCAAAGAATCCGCCTCAATTGTAATCCAGGTTGAGTTTGAAGCAAAACGAAGAAAAATCTATCAGCTGAAAACTGGATTTTTGCGAAGAAAAACTACGGATCTTAAACTTGATCTTTAAATAGCAAGCACATAATAGTACCTGAATAAGCCTTCGGGATTTTTTGTGCATAAAATGCGAGAAAAAATAGCCCAAAAATGGAAATGTCCGCCTACATACCTTACCTAATATAATTTCAAAACTCTACCCCTATATGTGCTCTTGTAATCGAGAATTACCAATGCATGGAAAACCCAAAAAGTGACATTTTGGCATTTTTGGACTATCTTTGTTTCTCAAGTGAGCTTCATAATAAATCCACCAAATACGTTTCCGGGTACTACCACATGTCTACTGATAATGACCCTAGTAGGAGCTCCGTTGGTAGTTTTTGAAAGGAGGTCCGATTTTCAGAGTAGTTGAATTTTCTGATTTTTGGACAGAGATTTTACCTGAATCACCACTTAGACGGATCTTTGGTGGTCCTTTTGTAGAACATGCTGCGCTCTATAGAATAGTACCCTAAGTCTGCCAGGGAAACAAATATAGCTTGATTTATCTAGAAATACATTTGGGACAACCTAATAGATAAGCTTGACTATCCTCAAGCATTTGGCAATCGCACACCTTGTCAGTGTATTTTTCATGCTTTGAATAGTTATCAAGCCATGGGAAGGTGCAGAGACCGTGTAGATGTTTATTCAAGGAACAGAAGAAGTAGGAAGAGATAGATTTCATAAGATAATTCTTTTGTTAACGCTAATTCTTCAGGACCAGCTGTAAATTGCTCGCCGTTTCTTGCGAGACTTTTTGCTTCTCTTTGTAAAAGGAACCGCACCTCACCATATTCATTTGAGGAACTTCGAACCACACGCGAAAAAGTGTTGAAACTCATATAAAAGGGTAGCAGTAAACTTTTCCTAAGTCAGCGATCCCCTTTCCTTTTTTCATATTTTTCGTCTTTATTTCTCTGTACTCTTATTCTTTGGCAGCAATTCACCGGATCAGTACACATAAATTGCTCGTCTTTCATGAGTGGATTGTTTGATAGTGCCTACTTTATCAGAAAATCTTCAAATCTGATTTTTGACAAATCAAATTCCCCGGAAGTAACAGTCTTAAGTTTTCCCTTGTTCGTATACGGTAGTCAAAAAGTACTTTTGCGTTATTATCCTTCTGATAGTTTTTTGATAAACATGTGCTGCTTGTTTGATAATGCCGTATGCCTACTTTTCTTTTGTCGAAAAGGTCTTTGATGATGCCATTTGCGCAATCCGGCTTTTGGAATGTATGTCAATTGTTCCTGACAATATTCATGTTTATTAATCTTCGCAATACAGCTTCCGGAACTGGCATTATGTTTGCTCGCTGCAAGTGTAGAAAAGACGAACGGAATGAGACGCTACTGATGACTAGTAATTCTTGCAAAAATCTCTAAGCCCAAAAGTACATTATGCGCAGGAGTGTTGGAGGATGGACTTGGCTCATACAAAGCGAAACTCATTTCGAATGTATAAAGCTCTAGAAAATTCCATTTCACATCCCTCTTCCACTGACGTCCTGACAAGTTTTTCTCCTTTAGTGTAATATTTGCTTCCGTGTAGGCGTAATGATGCAAGAACCAAGGCCAACGGAATTCTCTCACGTGGTACTGTTTTTTGAGAAGGTAATGACCGGAATTGGAGTGACAAAATGTGCCATCACCTTTTTCTTTATCCAATCATCGTGACGTGTTGGTTTACACATTGTTAAATTGCACGGAATCTCCCACGTGCTTATCCTTCCATTTTCTGCGAAAGTTTTTGAAATATATGAATCGCAAAGGGTGCAATGATACATCTATTTTAAAAAATTTCTGGAGTATGAGAAAAAGATAGGAAGCTGAGCTGAGCGAGCCTCTCCCATAATTGCATTCTGACTTGGCGAAGAGGAATTTTTAGAGGCAACAAGGAAGTGATTCTACTGCTCAATGAGCAAAGCAGACACAACCTACAATTGTCTAGGTCACCTGAGAAAGGCTAAACGCCAGTAATTACAGGTGTTTTATCAAAATAGAGCCATTAATAACAGGTACGCGTACACGCGCTCCTCGATCACACTGCAGACCATAAATTGCAAGTTTTATTCGGACAATTCTGAGAACAATTTGTATAGACCCGTAAGTGACCCTCTCATAGGCGCGAGATCTTATCTTGTAGAGACTATGAACACACATACGCCCTTCAGAAGATGCGTGAAAATAGATACAGAAACGGCTCACTAAAAATTGACACTACCAACTTACTAAACTCTACCAAATAACAAATATTAAGATGATCAATCGCCAAATATACAGAGTATACGACTCATAGGGGAGAGATCCACAGAAATAAAGAGACCGTGCTGACTAGGGTTTGACAGCAGGGCTGTGTCTGGTTTGTCGAAGTTGTCGCTTTCTTGGTCCAAGGAAGCCAGAAAATGAGTTGTACATAAGCTTGATCGACCGTAGAGCTCCCAGACATTTGCAAGTTCCTGGAAAAAATTGCAGAAATTCAACCAAATTTTTTAGTTCTAGTCTAATCTATTTTCATCCTAGAAACTGATCGTTCCGACAAATCACCTAGACAGAAGGACTGAATTGAGTTCTGCGGCACTCAAACTGCACTTTTCTTTGGTTCTGTTGGTCAAAAGAGCCAAAACAGAGCCATTTCCAGAATCGCGTCACTGCAAAGTTTAACAGCGTCATATTTGGAAAGAAAACTGCAGCAGCATTGTGTCGTTTTTCTTTGAAGTAGAAGAAGATTATTTCAGTCAAATAATGCTTCCAAAAGCGCTTGACGTAACTTTATCCCCGAAATTTCAATCCTACGCAATGACGTTTGTGCGGAGGCTTTCAATGTTAATTTTTTTGCTGGGCACAGTTTTTTTTACCGTAATCTCGTGTGAATATGATGCCATCTTTAGCCGCGCAGAGGGCCTTTCACTAAAGGAAGCGAAGACTGTTGAAATACTAACCAATAGTGGCGTCATCGTCATCCAAATCATCTGGAGACCAAGTGTAGATAGCAGCTTCTGGAAGTGAAAAACACGCATCCTTGCATTGTTCACCATCAAGCCCTGCTAGAGAGGCTAACTCGGGTCCAGCCACGACGTGATCGCGGAAACGATCCCTTAGCTCGTCTTCTGAAAATAAATCCGGATGCAGGATGTTGTTGAGTGACTTTGCATATTTGGCAGGCTGCGTGATAACAGCGAATAAGTAATTGTTTGTTATTGTTGTTCGATTCGGATGGCGAAGTTTACCCCGACCGTAGTATTCCCCCGAGTGGTTTATGATGTCACTATGAAAAAGCGTCAATTTAACCTTTCGGATGGAAGGCGCTGGACCATGTGGGTCGCGAAATGATGCGATTAGTCGGTTTGATATTTTCCCATAGGAAGTAATATGTCATGCAAATGTTCCCTCAGGCATAGGTACTTGATTGAATATGTATCAAAATCAAAAATGTATCAGTTTTTCATGAGTTCAGAAGAAGATGATATGTGCTGTTAAATCCGTTTCAACCCGCTTTTTGAAACACTTCAATTGTGCAGAATAAATGCAAATTTCATGCAATGATGTTGCGTACACTATAATCTTCTAGCCCACTCAAATTTTTTTCTTCTTCCTAATCTGCATGCAAAATGAATGAGGATGAAATTTCACACCTCCTTACATACGCAATGCCATTTTTCAAAAAACGTGGGATCTAGACGGAAGTTACAAACATTTTTTTACTCCACGCACTCACGCATCATTGGCAGGGGGATATGCAAAAAATCTTGCTAGTCCAAGAGTCCCCAATTGTGAACAAAAAATGAGACTTCCTCATCGAACTTGTAGCGCTCTCACTACTAATTCGATAATCATGCAATTATGTTTGTATTCTTAGCTAATCTGTTGTCGTCGTACGTCACAGTTATCTAGCAAAATTTCTGAGCCAAAGCCTGCAATTAATCTTTACGCCAACTTCAACACGTGACAGCTATCTTAAAAAGTAACGTCGGACTTTTGGTTCTGGTGGAAAGTTCGAGATCTTTGAGACGTATTGGTACACTTTTTAGTGCGGGTTTCGCAGCATGTTTTTACGGTAGAAAACACTTCCTCATTGGCGGTAATAAGTCATGCTAAACTGGAAAAACGCTTCCTCCATAAATCATTTGCGAAACAACAAATCACAAAAATAACGTCATCACTTTACATGAGTTCAATTATTGATACTGTGAATACTGCCGGAAAGAGAAGACAGGAAATCAAAAAATCAAATGTCAGAAGAGATCCAGCGGAGTCAGCCGAAGTCGCAGTTTCCCAAGCAACTTACTGGCAAAAAGAAGTGATGGACTTTTGGCAGTGAAACGATTCCGAAGTATGTATAGCTCCATTATCAAAAGTGCCTTGTGAAGCTTATCAGGTTTTTGTATCATAATGAACCGTCTAGAATGAATAAATAGACAAAAATTAGTTCAACCATTACCTTCATCGAGGCAAAACCCAATCAGCGAATCCTCCTTCTTCATAAGATCACCGCTCAATGATCGTGACTTCAAGTAGCAGACCTCTTCATTTTCACCCCATTCATATGCCAAACACGATGGATCATCGCGACATTCGATTGCGCAGCTAAACTACCAGAGGTTGAAGATATTCACTACCATAGCGAGATACTTACCTTCTATGATCAATGCCTCTTAGTCGTCGATAGTCTCCACCTTCGATGCTCAAGCCTTTCTCGGTGTTGAAGCAGCGCCCTGGAAAATCTGCACCTATTCTAATTTGAGGCACTTTCTAATAATGATTGAACTACTTTAATATGCATTCTATAATTACTCATGCCATTTGCTCAACGATTATTTAGTCTCGCTAAGCGTAGGCGAAGAGTTCACGGTTGACGAGAGACCCTTCAGGATGAATGCCTCGGAAAGCGTGCGATGAGGTCACTGGAATCAGGAAGTGGCAGGAGCTGTAGCAGATTGTGTCGTGATGAAATGTCGATCTCAATTCAACCAGAAGTTCTGGCTTTTACAAACATCACTACAAACTACAGCTTGCCACTGGGATCTAACATCACGGGACTTACGCAAATCGCTCTAAAGCGCTTTACATTTGCGAAAGGGGATATAATGAAGATTAGGATTAAAATACCTAGCTCATCAGAATCCCGCAAATTATCTTTAGAAATCTCACCCTCGCACAACTAAAACTGCTGCTTCCTGGCAAAATAGTCATAATGTATTCGGATATCAAGAGGATCTGCGACTTCGAAAATGCATGGATAGCAGAACAAGGAAGTGCTTTGACTAGGCATTCTCATGATTTCTGCACTAAATAATGCCTTTGAAAAAGCCGTTTAATGGCATGAGGTTCTGCTGTAACCGGTGGGGTCAAAAGTTTGATACCCGCCTTTAAGTTAATGTCCCTTTACACCCGCGGGGTATATGAAAGTGATACTAGAGTAACCTAGAAGGACCAAAGCACTGGAATCTTGAGTTGGCGGACTCGCCGTGGAATTTGACTTTGAATTTGACTGAATAGTATCTTGGACTATGAATTAAAATGCATTGCCTGCCTATAAGTGGTACTGAGAATGTCGCAGTCTTTATCCTCTTCCAGTATCGCTTCGGAGTAAGCAGATGGAACTTTTTAAAAAACATGCGACAAGCTTAGTCTTCTTCTCTATTTGTTTGTAGCTTTTGTCAAAATGCCAATGGCTTCAATCAAACCAGCTCATTCATTTTAATTCCGCTTAATTTTCCGCAACACCCAAAACACAAGCATATTAAAATCTGCCGTCGTCTGCATGAAAATTGCGAAGGAAGGTATTGCTCTAGCTGAGATCAGATACACCCTCGCCATTGCAAACGAATGTAGCAATTTGCAGAGTGTTGTGATGCACAAGCTTATCCTTTTCAAAGCGGATCTGAATGGAGAAGTTTGGGAGCCGTATATCCCTGTGCTAGATATTCTACCAAAAGTGGTCTGTATGCGACGTTTGTTTCTATTTTTTGTTTACTACCATTACTGTTTATGCTTCAGTGCTCAGTATTTGTTGGAACCAAAAACAAATGTTATTTAGGTATGAGAGCTCTAAACGTCTTTTACATGATAGAAGTTGAGTGATTTTCGTTTGTTTGCGTTATTTACCTTGAAATTGATTTTGTGGAAAGTTGTGTTACCTGATGCATGCGTTGATGACACCACCGAGAGGAACAGCATGATTGGATACAGAACTCGTAACGAAGAGACGGGCCCGTCTGCTGTAGATGGGGTCAAAGTGCTGGAGGAGCTGGTTGTTGGCAAAACTGTACTCGTAACTATGGCGTTCATACGATTCTGGAAGTTGAATTGCATCACTAAGGAGTTAATGTAACAGGTAGCAAATATAATCTTGAAGTACGCGACATCAAGGAACTATCTCAAGTTTGCAAGATAAATGGGGGTTGAAGGGACTGCAACCATCCTCCGTGAGCATCCAACAAGTACTGCGGTACACCTTCCTTATACAATCGCTTGCCCAGATCACTTGGAATGGGCGGAGCAAAAGGCGGGCGGAGGCGGTACACTCGTGCAGCTACAGTCAATCGCCCTTTCAATCGGATATGGAGAGAATAGGATAAGACTTGAGAACTCAATCCAAATGATTCAGACATGACTGGTATGCAAAGCTCAATTTGCATATTCTGCACCTCTTTGACGTCAATGAGTAGGAGTTCTTGGCTCGGCTTGCTCTAGTATCATTACGTACGCACAGATTTTTGGACGATTTATGTACGAAGTTTGTGCCCTATCCTGTTAGCATATTAGTAACAACGGGAAGACCGTTATGGTATCTTCTGGTAACACTCGAATAAACCCACCTTGATAACGTACACTGTAATTGTTATAGGGAACTACATTGGAATAAAAGTGTTTTTCTAATCAAAAACAACTTGAAGAATGTAAAAGGTGATTCGGAGAGGATAGTTTTACTGTCAAGTATGTTCTAATTTATGTGCATGTGAAAGTTTTTGATAGTATCTGTTGCAACTTTTGTTCCGTGTCATGTCGCTTCCGCTAGTATTGGAATCGGCAAATCTTGTCTCTGCACTTAATTTTTCTTTCAAGGTTCTTCCTTTCTCCTTCGTATTTGATTGTTTTTGAAGTATTTCAGCTGCACTTTGCTCTCTGACTTACTAAGTTGACAGCAATTCCGCTAGAGATGCCTGCTTGAAAACACCTCGAATGAGTGTATCGCTGTTGCACTCATAATTACTTCTCTGTCCTCATCCCAAAAATAGTTAGGCCCGTAGTAAAGCTGCTTCATTCGATCTCAGCTGAATAAAATTTCAGTTGAGGCTTCGACGAGTCAGCTTGCCTTCAGTCGAGCCACTGATTGAAATTGCCAACAATCCACGATGATAAGATTGAGAGCGCCACGTCCATGCAAGTAAGACGAGTTTGCCAAACATTCACATCTACGTCATTGGCACTAGCGGCGGGGATGTGGCCGCACTTGTTAGATCTTGTTAAGTCTCATCAGCATCACTGTGGCTCCTCACCGACATGTTAAACTGACGCGTATCGTAAGTTACTCAGGAGCAACTTACGAGAAGTTTCTCTGCGTATCATCATTGGCATAATATTTACATCAGTTGGTAGTTTAACTGAATGTGAACTGACTGAAATAAGGTAGACTACCTCGTCAGGTAGACGGACGGTCAGCTGAAATCTCATTTTGCATTCTTACAACGTGGAGAGCTGGTGATAGGCAGACTACCTTACTAAATGTTGGATGAGGGCCTCAGTTCACTTCACCTGAACTGAATCAGCTTTACTACGGGCCTTAGTCCCTAAAGGAAGACGAATGACTTTTGCACCATAGAGAACTGCATTTTTGCGACTTCCGAAACTCTAGATTCTACGAATACCTGCCATCGCTTTTTCTCAACTTTGCTGATACTTAGATACGGAAGTAATGATGATTATGAAATATCACTACAAAATAACTACAAGCACCCTTCATCTACGAAGGAAAAGCTTATCATAAACCCACGGAAGTGGACGTCACGACGAGTCTAGGCTGATTTGGTGCAGCTACTTTGTCTGAGTTCTCAACCAAAGTTACTTTCTTCTCTCGTCCTGCAAAATATAGATGAAAGAGCTGGGAACTGCTTTCCAGCATTCCAGCTTATGCTCCTTGCTTGACTGTGCTAGTGTAGGTCAAATACAATACAAGGCTGCTGCATAATTTCTCTGTGCTACATTACCGATATCCGCATCAGGTCTCCAGGTTGAACAGCTTCTAGTCGATATTTTTTTGAAGCAACTGTTTTAAGAGAGTTTCATCTCTAATGCATATCTAATGATACTGTTTGTACAATACTGTATATGCCTTGCTTGCAAGTGCTGTTGAATCAGAAACTGTTTTTCTTGTTCTTGCTAATGCTCATATCAAAATCCAATAAATTGCTTAATTGTAACGAGATTGCAGGCCTAAGATCCCCGGGTGCCCAAGATACTTTTTCACCTAAGAATATCCTTGCAAGAAAATCATCACAATGCGCCCTCCAAGTCGTTTTTTCATTGGTTGCGGAATAAGGATGTAACAAGTAGCATATGCACAAGCTCAGCTTTGTGAAGAAAACGCCTTGCTTGCAAAATCTGCTGTCGAACATCAATTTTTTGTCTAAATGTTCTACAAGCAGTAACTTTCTGAAATAGAGACAGTCGATGAGTTCAAAGTTGGAGGTGCTAAAGTGGAGCAAGAGCCAGCAGGGCCCTGCTCCGATTCCTTTGCATCGAAAAATGGGGGGGGGGGGGGAGGGGGGACACATGTAGCAAGGTCAAAAAGCGTCTTCTTTTTTGTTCAGTCAAAAAATAGCTCTCGTCACCGAAGACCCTATGGGGTCTTTCATGTTGCAAAATAAACTACGAAAATTTCTCCACCTATCCATTTTAAATGATATGCCTATCAGTTCTCATAAATGGGCATTGCCATGTCAGAAAAGACAGGTTTGAAGAAGAACGCTGTGATGTTTTTGGGCTCTGCTTCTTCATTGAAAGTTTTTTTGCGAAACTTAATATTCCTATGATAGCCAAAAAAGTGACCAACATATGATCAGGGAAAAAAGTGATATTGGAAACTATGACACTTCATATTCGATTATGCAAATCGTACAGAACTTACAACAGCCTGATACACCAAACCGGTGTGATAGAGAAGAGATAATCGAGTAGATTTGGATCACAAAGCAACGATCACCTAGATATATTGTGTGTGTCATGCGTAATAGAGCTTCATATCAATTCCAAATACGCTTTGACTTTGAGGTTTTCGGGCTTTTAATGAACTTCAATGGAATAATCAAAGCTTGTGCTCTACTTCTTCCAATTTTTTCTCAATAAAGCCTCTAGGTTGACGTTAATAAAAACATAGCTTTTTGTTTACTTCCTTATTTTTAGACCTACAAGTCGCACCCCGTTTGTTCTAAACGCGAGCAGACGTGAGGCAGCTGAGTGTGGTCTCACCTACAACTTTCAGTTTATTGCTTGCATACCCCTCTTCTCCAATGCTGGAATCCACATCAAGAAGAGATGTCTCTTCAAACTGACTACATTTGAACTATAGGAAAAATGACAAACCTATAACATATAATATATAAAACTCACTATCATCTCAGCTCGCAGAACATGCATACTTCATTTTGCAGACGTGCTAAGTGATTACGTATCATTGGACACCGAGTCATCTAACAAGAGAAGTATACTTGGTCGAAATGGCGTCTATATGAAATGAGTAGTGTTACATGGGAAATGAAACGCTGATTTTCGGTAGTTGCAAAGCGCATCCGTGAGGAAATATGGGACCTTTTAAAGTACAAATATGAGGGCTCCATTAAGGTGACGTTGAGGTCTTTCAGACGCTTGAAAGGAGTAATGATTAGCAAGAGTTTATTAGGTTGAAGATATCTATCGCATAAAGCGTCGTGGCAGTAATCATGGCCCCATGTGAGCTCACAGACTACAGTTCTGAATGATTTTATTATAGCCTCGAGTTTAGTCTTTTGCTTCGAAAAATCCCCATAACTCCCCTCTTGGAAGCGTTTTGCGAATATTGAAGGCAGATTCAAAATTAGCGTTTTATGCTCTATAAGATGGTATATACTTCATTTGGAGGCGCCACTTCGATCAAGTATCTTTCCCTCGTAAAAAGTTTTCAGTTTTTAGTAGTCTCCAGGAAAAATTGAAGCAAATATAATTTTTGGATGATTGTATCTGCATATGGGTGATAAACCTTGAGATTCCAGATATAGAGATTCTAAGGTGCAACCTCAACCTTTGATATTTTTGCCCTTTTGCCAGGTGAAAAAGCGAGCTCTATTTGACTCATTTGATACAAGACAGAATGAACTAATGATTGAAGTAACGCTAATAATAGCTGTGTGCAATCAGCGGTGATCTTTTACCATTCATACCAATATGCAGTCTGACCGCACATAATTACCCTTGACTCTGGTTGACAGTTTCGCTACTGTCCCATTACGCGTCCTTACCGAAATGCAGTGTAGTTAAGTTGGGCTTGTTTCTCAGCTTATTTTGCCCTGCTAAAATCAGACTAGCATTTGTGGAGGAATCTCCTGACGATGAACTAGCCAGTTCAAACAACCTATAGTACGATAAGACTTTTTGAGAATAACGAGCACGTCGAATTGTCGGTATCGGTAAAGTAAGCATCCACTACGAAACCTAGTTGCACAACAATCAATAACTGATGCGAGACACTTTGGTAATTTCCATTAAGCTACAGAGTCCGACGACAGTTTGGAGTAATTACTCGTTTGACTGTGAGCGACAGCGCTTGTGGAGTTCTCGGAAATGGATGCAGAGAAGGAACACGTTTGTTATATTTGACTTTTGTGTTTGGTTGAATCGAGCTATTGGAATCCATCAACCGCATTTCCATATGTAATTTGCTGCTTAGACGTTACGTAAAAAATGACTTACTATAGCGAATTGATATAGGAGTTAGGAGTGGATCGCACAATAACGTAGTCCGAAAAGTCGTCACTGTTTTTGGACAAGGAACACAAGTGATTGCCAAGGATAAACTTCAGTAAGAATGACATGTATCTGCTGGAATAGAAAAAGTATTGTAAAAAAAACAAGAAAAAACCCTGCAGATGAGCTTTGGTATCTACCTTGTATGGCAAAAAAGACTTACGCAAGTATCTCCCGAGATCACACAGTTACGTTGCATAAGAAGGGATAAGCACATCAGCTAAGCTCAATTCTGAACTATTCTCAGTCTGCTATTGCTGCTATGTGCAACAGCAGCTGAATCATTCCTTCGTAAAGCGAACGCTTCCGCTTGC